ACTTGGCCCTTTCTTTTCTTATCTCCTCCCAGTTCAAAATGCTTGCATCTCTTAATAGCCAGCATTCTCTTAGATCTGCAGTTGGGCTCAACACACTCAAGCTTCAGGACAATCTTCTTTGTAGTTTTGGCCTTCTTCCGGAAAATTGGTTTAGTCTGCCCACCATAGCCACTCTGTTTCTTGTCATAACACTGCTTTCCCTGGGCATATAGAGAATCTTTGCCTTTCTTGTACTGTGTCACTTTGTGGGGTTGATGCTTGCCACACTTCTTACAGAAAGTTCGCCGGGTTTTGGGAACGTTCACCATGCTTGCAGACGCGCGAACGGCGAGGAAAGCCATATCTTTCTTTTATGCCTGTCTTAACTGCATGTCATATTTGTTTTCTCCACCTGGGAAGTTTTCTGTCATGACATTTGTGAACAGGTTTTTATATTTCCTATTATTTCATTGACTCCAATCAATCTTTATTCTTCTTTACCTCATCTAGCAGCTGCTGGGTTGATTTCTTATGGTGTCTTGCTATTTCTTTTCTGAGACCAGGTCAGCCCACCCTGGGGGTTGGGCTGGCATAGTATGTAGTCCCAGAGATCAAACCACAGTCCCTACGCACTTGCCTAGGCTCGCCTGTACAGGTGCTTTAGACCACTGAGCTTTCTCAGTATCCCTCCCTTGCTAGTTTTCTTTATCGCTTACCACAAGCCTGTCTTGTGTATCTGAGTGTCTGTCCTCACGTTGGCTTAATCTGGTGCAGATACTTTCAATGGAATTTTTATTGTCCTCATTATCTGCTTGAATCTGCCTTATGGATTTCATTTTTTCATATGCTGAACATTCATGGCTTCCATAATTTTCTTAGCTCCACGTGTGTGTGTGTGTGTGTGTGTGTGTGTGTATCTGCTCTAGAGTGACTGTGTATGGTTTTCACCATCTCTGCAGTTATCTGAGAAATCAGTTTTGATTTGATTTTTTTCTAGAGCTTCATTGAATTGCTTTGTTTTTACCACTTCAGTTGACGTGTTTTTTTTTGTTTTTTTGTTTTTTGTTTTTTTTTTTTTGGTCTTTTTTGATTTTACACTATTTTTTGGTTGAATTGTTTTCTAGGGAAGGATTGTTTTTTGTTTTTGGTGCTGAGGATTGAACCTAGGGCTTCACAGCTTGCTAGGCAAGCATTGTACTGCTGAGCCAAATTTCCAGCCCTTGTTTTTACCACTTCAGAGAGGCCAAGTGGGTAGTTTTCAGATCATCCCACCTCACTGGCCCCTGAGTTTGCCTTTGCTAAAGTGGATGTGTCGGGTTGCATCTTGTATAAGTATCTTCTCATTTTCTTTTCTGATTTTAGTTCAATTCCTGGGACAATGCTTATATATTATCTATGGTGAATTGCTTTAGTGGTAGCATTTAATTTTTAAAAATTTATTCACTTTTTCATTGTTTTTGTGGCCTTATCAGCCCACCCTCAGGGCAGGGCTGGTGTTGGATGTGGTGCTGGTGATTGAACTGTGGTTGCCTAAGATTGCCTAAGCAGGCGGTTCAGACCACTGAGCTATCTCTCTGGCCCTAGTGGTAGCATTTAGAAGCCATAGGAAGTGATTATTTCCTTAAGGTATCTGCCAGCTATGGATTGTTTCTCAGTTTTGTGTCTGTTGCAAGATCCTACCTGTTTAATTTTTAGGTATGAGAAGTTGCTGTGTGTTTGGCCCAGCCTCTGGTTCTTTGGTACTGTGGCAAAATATTTTCTGTGGTCCTTTGTCAGTTTCATTCTTGGACTACAAGAATAGCTATTTAGAACAGTTATTTCACTTTTTGCTAAAATGGTAACATCATCAATAACGGTAGCAACAATTATCACCTCAAAAATGACAAACTCAGGTATCGATTAATTGGTGATCTTTAATCATATGAACTATATTTGTAGTCATATAACAAAGTGCAAAATAGACCAGGAAATTACATGTAGCACATAAGTCCTTAAGAAGTCAATTTTACCCTCAGGGGCTAAAATTTAAAATGGTTTTGGGAGCAAATCAAGAAGTGGAAGAAGAGAAAGAGTTTAGAAGTAAGGCTGGAGAACAGAGGGAAATCATGCTGAGTGGGCAACTAGAACATAAGACTGGGGAGAAGAGTAAAGAAAGAGAGGAAAAGAAAAAGTGAACAGAACAGCAATCACAAGGAGGCTAGAAACCACATTCAGACTCAGATGAAAACAAGATCAAAGAATGAAGGAGAAATAACAACAAAATCAGAAATCAAAAAAGAAAACAAAATGACCATCACAACAACAGCAGCAACAACAACAAAGATAGAATTTTTTTAAAAAAGAAAAAAGGTTCCAGGTTTGAGTCTGCTAGCAGTGGTAGACGATGCATGGAGACATAGTCCTGAACCATGGTGATCTATGCCAGCAGGCCAGAAGCAGCTTCTAGGCAGGGTACTAGATCATGGCAGAGAGTCTGCACCTTCTAGCTGAGGCCAGACTCATTTGGCCTGCAGTCACACTCATGTGGCCTGCAGTGCACATTCCTCAGGCCTGAACTCAGCTTGGAGCTGTTCCACGGAGCCAGCAGTTACTCTGAGTTCTGAGCTCAGCCAGCCCCTCACTAAGATAGCTCCCGGCCAATTTCCGTCTCCTGTGGGATGACTGAGCCCTCAGCACTCACTACCAGGCGGTGCAGTCTTTCATGTCTGCTGCTCCCCTCCACTGCTCATCTCTCTGGGGAGG